ATTAATTTGCATAACTGGTCCTCCAAGACACTCTCCGAAGAAGCTAAGAAATCATACGCTATCTTCACCCCATATTTACCATCTAACCCATGCATCCACTTCCAAACATCCCCTGCCCCCTCCTTTAAATTGACACCCTTCAGCATCTTTTCCAACAGCTCCTCCTCATCTTTCTCACGCCCTAATGTACCCCTCCTCCACTCCAGCCGCCAACGCCATCTCCCCTCTTCCCAAGACCCCATTTCGGAAACCTTTCCTTCCTTCTTAATAGCTAGTGCAAATAACCTAGGAAATAAGTCTCTAAGGCTTTTTACACCCATCCATCTATCCGCCCAAAAAACCACTCTATTTCCTTCTCCCACCTCCCACTTGAAACCCTCCACCAACATATTTCTAAGATTGAGGGAAAGGCCTCCTATCCTAATAATGTCCCTCCAAATCTTAGATATCTTGAAACACTCAACCGAGGTAATATCGACCTCCCTCCTACCACCATAATATTTCTCCCTCACCACCCTTTTCCATAAGCTCTCGACCCCGTCGCCTAACCTATACCACCATTTTCCTAACATTGCCCAGTTTTTTCTTTGTAAATCAGGCACCCCAAGACCCCCTTTTACCTTAGCTTGACATACATGATCCCATTTTACCCAAGAAATTTTCTTATTTAATTCTGCCCCGCCCCATAAGAAACACCTTTGGATTCTAGTCAATTCCGCAAGCACAGATTTAGGTAATGAAAATAAAGACATATAAAAAATAGGAAGTGCAGAGAGTACCGAGTTTAGCAAGACGAGGCGGCCTCCAAAAGAAAGAGTAGCGGCCTTCCAGACAGCGAGTTTGGATCGGAATTTATTTACAACCAGCTCCCAAAATTTCTTGTTTCCAGATTTTCCGTCTACGGGCAATCCCAGATAAAGAAAGGGTGGTCGGCCAACCCTGCAGTGTAACACGCCCGCTGATCCTTTTAGCCATTTCTCCGACACATTATACCCAAAAATACTGCTCTTGCTGAAATTAATTCTCAATCCCGACATAAGCTCGAACCATTTTAGGATGTCCTTCACCGTACGTATATTCTTCGCATCCGCTCTACCCATAATAACTGTATCATCAGCAAACTGGAGCAGCGATACGGACAGACCTCTCTTTCCAATCTCAATCCCATGCATCATATCCTCCTTTATAGCTCTCTGTACCAGATACTGTAACCCCTCCGCAACCAACAAGAAGAGAAAAGGAGATAGAGGATCACCTTGTCTCAAGCCTTTTCCCACCTCAAATTCCTTTGTCGGGCTTCCGTTTACCAGAACCGATACTCTGGCCGTTGAAAGGCATTCCATGATCCATCCTCTCCACTTCCTTCCAAATCCAAAACTTTCCATCATCCAATCCAAGAAAGACCAATCTACCGAGTCATATGCCTTTTCGAAATCTGCTTTAAAAACAAAAGCTGGCTGTTTCTTTTTCTTAATCTCATCCACAACTTCATTTAGCACCAGGACACTATCTACCAACTGTCGTCCCCCCACAAAGGCTGATTGCGTTTCACTTACAATTTCTGATATCACGGACTTCAATCTATTAGCCAGCACCTTCGCTAATAACTTATAGACACATCCTAACAGGCTAATGGGTCTATAATCCTTTAGTTCTATGGCATTCAACTTTTTAGGAATCATAGCAATAAAAGAAGAATTAAGACCCCTCACCAGTTTGCCATTACGATGGAATTCAGAAAAAAAGTTGATGAAGTCCTCCTTTATACATTGCCACGCATATTTAAGGAAATTGAAGTTGTAACCATCAGGTCCTGGTGCCTTTGAACCTTCACAGCTCCTTAAGCCTTCCTCAATTTCTTCAACTGAAAATGGCCTTTCCAGCCAATCTTTTTTCTCCTCGGATAACTGCTGAAAATTAATATTCCCAAGCTTGGGTCTATTCCATTGTTCTCCTTGAAACAAGCTTGTAAAATATCTGGCTATCTCATTTTTTACTAAATCTGGCTCATCAATCCATGCTCCATCACACATTAAGCCCGCAATGTTGTTTTGTGCTCTTCTACCTTTTGCAACTCTATGAAAGAAACGAGTATTTGCATCTCCCTCATGTACCCATTTACTCCTTGATTTCTGCTTCCATATCAATTCTTTTTTCCTCAAAACATCCCACATCTCAGAAAAACCTTCCTGCCTTTTCACTATCTCAGCCTCTTCCAGATCAGATATCTCGTTCTGCCTATCAACTTGCTCAATTTTTTTAACAGCTATCTCATACTGAGTTTCCATATTCCCAAAGACTTCCTTGTTCCAGTCCTTTAAAAAACCTTTTAGCAATTTCAACTTTTGCTGGCACTTATACCCAGCAAAACCCTCCACCGTCAACTCACTCCATTTATCCTCTACGAACTTCTTAAAATCGGGGTGTTGTTGCCATGCATCCCAGACCCGAAAGGGTTTTGGTCCCCAATCTGATGTTCTGGACTTCAACACAATAGCACAGTGGTCAGATATATTCCTTGGCAATCCTTGTTGTATCCACTCTCCCTCCGTATTACTCATCTCCGTGCTCAAAAGGAATCTGTCCAATCTACTCCTTGTTGTACCATCTGGCTTGTACCATGTATACTTTCTATTCGACAGTTTAACATCCACCAAATCAGATGTCACAATAAACTCGTCGAAATCCTTCATGTCTGGGCTTTCTCCTGATCTACCTCGTCTCTCCTCAGGTCCTCTGACAGCATTAAAATCCCCTGCTATCAACCAACATCCTTCCTTTTCTGTCACCAATTTCCTCAATTCCTCCCATAGACTAGCCTTCCTCTGTCTATCATTTGAACCATAGACGTTAATTAAAAAATATTGCTTTTTAATTGCTCCCCATTCCCCTGCCAATCCCACGAAACCATCACCAGAAAAATCTTCCGTCTTAACAAATTGTCGACTATCCCACAAACAAAGTAACCCACCTGACGCTCCAGAAGATCCCTTTGCAACCCAATCAACCTCATCCGAATACCACAGTTGTCTACAGATACCTACATCCACTTTTTCTAACTTTGTTTCCTGCAGGAAGAGAAAATCTGGCTTCTCTTCTTGAACCAGCCTTCTCACTTCCTTCTTTTTCAACATCCCACCCAAGCCCCTTACATTAAATGACACAAATTTCATTGATCAATTCTAAACACACAAACCTCCATTCATCACTAACGGCTCTACCTTCCTATCGCGGCCCCCCTCTCCACCCCTTCTTGATCTACTGCCTCTAGCAATTTTGATTGAATCTCCTCCTCATTATTCTCGAAAATAAGACCCAATCTCTTCCCCACCCCCATCAACCGACGCACCTCATGCATATCCATCTCCCTCTGTAACACCCTATTTCTATTTTCAATACACCCATTTGAAATAGAAACAGCCATAGCATCATGTACCTTGTCATCTTCGGCTTGGCGGGTTCCCTCTCTCCGCGCCAGACGTTGCTTTGTTCTGGGTGTTACCCACGGAGCTCCTTTTACCCAGATCTGCTCCATGCTCTCCGGGTAGCATTCTTGCAGCCGCCTCTGTTTTTTGCTCCACTTTGTTGTGTTTTCCGGTTTCTGCGTTGTCGTTGGGTCCACCACTATTTGTGCCTCTAAACGTGGTTCTTCCAAATTCATTTCCTTTGTTTTACCCCCTTCCATCCTGATGATCGGCCCACTGTCTTCTATAGGCCCATCCGAGCTCACTCTTTGTGGCCCAGTCTCCTTGGGCAGCCCACAGTTTATATCTCCTTCTAAATCCGTCTCTTGCACCATTTGAAAACCACTCTCTGTTTCCGTTACTGTCTTCAAATTTGAATTAGACACCAAATCCTTCATTAAATGCTCTGAATCATTTCTTACTTCCTCACCTTCGCCAATCACATCCAAATCCATTTCCGGATCCTCGTTTTGACACCACGAGTTTGAGAAATTAGACTCCGTTTCCAGGTCGCTTCTCCGGCCATTCTCCGATAACCACCAGTCCGGATCATTGCGCCACTCCTCTTCAACTATTTCTATTTCATACACCTGTTCACCCACCTTCAGCTTCACTTGATTGCATATTTTACTCGCCTCCGAACACAGGATCAGGACTCTTCCATCCCATAGAATTGTTTTTTTCTTTGTGTCCTCGTGCACCAACACAACTTCTCCGATTGTCTCACCGATCAACTGAAAACACCTCTCTTCCCATGCTCTTAATGGCACACCCGATATGCGTACCCACTTCAATCTGCTTTTCTCCTCTGGAGCCTTCTCCCATGGTGTTATCGACTCAAACCACATGCCAAACAACTCCTCATTCTGCTTCTTATAATCAGCTATGAACCCTGAAACTTTCTCAGTTAATAGTACCCGCATTCCCCCAATTGGTGACAACGAGATTAATCCTCCATCTGCATCCATTTGTTCTTGAATCACAGATATCGCCTCCATTGACCTCATCACTGCCACCATGCCACCTTCAAGCCATTTCAGCTCATCACCCGATGGGATGTATTCAACAATCTTCTCTGTTTTTTCTGCTTCCTTATTCTCCTGATCTCTTGTTTTGACAACTTCCATTTTCGGTGTTCCTTTTTCTTCCTTTTCCTGTGATTGATCTGGAGCCTTATCCACTCTCTTTCCTTGGCCCTTCACTGCCTGAGCATATGTCTGTCCTGGTTGAACCAGCCTATTCATGATGCTATTTGATCCACTGACTTTAGGCGCACCTTGTATCTTTCTATCCGATGAAGGCTTCCTATGTCTGTCATTTGCCAGCTTCACTCTCATCTTATACGAACCTATCCAAATCTCATTCAGCCTCCTCTCCATTTGAATCTCGTTCTTGACCCCTGTTAGTCGCACAAAGCCATACCTCTTCCCTCTTTTATCACGTTTCCTCGGAATATACACATCCACTACTTTACCATACTTCTGAAATCTGTTCCAGAGGAATTTTGCCTCTAATTCTTCTGGGAAGTTATAAAAGAAGAAGTTCGAAGACCATCCAGAAAACTGAGAACTGTACTCTGCAAACTTGTTCCTGAATCCTTGTCGCTGTCTATAGCCGCTGTCTTTCCTGGCTGCCGCGCTCCTAGCTGAAACTCGAGTGCTCTCCATCCTGCAAAACTAAAGTTCAGAAACAATTAGCTAATGTGCATGTCAACCCAAAAATATTATTTGGCAAAACACTTTGTAAACCCCACCAACCCAAAACCTTCATCCATACTAACCATACCCCTCTACATTCACAAAAAATATGATGAAGCTGTTCCTTCCCCTCATGACAAAAAGGACAACCAGTATCTCCCCCAGACAAAACAATCCCTCTCTTACACAAATTTTCTTTAGTAGCTAATCTATTCAAAAATAATCTCCATCCAAAAACACTCAACTTTGAAGGGACATATTTATTCCAAATAACCTTAGTCCATTTCTCATAAAAAAGAAACAAGTTTTCAGTGTTAAAAACTCATATGCCACCTTAACCGAGTAAGAACCATCAGTACTATGCACCCATCTCCAAGAATCCACACCATTCACCCTCACCTTAATCCCATTAAGCATCTCCCGAAGCTGTTCTTCTTCTCCTGCCGCCCTCCCTACACATCCACATCGCCACTTACACTCCCATACCCAACTCTCATCTCTCCAAAAACCCATATCCTTCAACAGCCCCTCCCTACTTGTAGCCAAAGCAAACAATCTTGGAAATAAATTTTCAAAGGTTGATCCCCCACCCATTTAGAACTCCAAAAATCCACACAACTTCCATCACCAACTTCCCACTTATGACCATTTACTAACATCTCCACTAGCCTTTTTGACCCACCACCCAAACTCACAATATCCTTCCATACTCTAGACATACTCAAACACACAAAAGAAGTAACATCCACCTCCTTCGTACCCCCATAATATTTTTCCCAAATCACCTTCTTCCATAAACCATCTAAACCATCTCATCCATCTCCTAACCTAAACCACCACTTACCCAACAAAGCACAATTCTTCCTCTCTAAATCAGCCACTTCTAAACTCCCTCTCTCCTTATCCACACACACACAATCCCAACTAACCCATGAAATCTTTTTTTCCAACTTTGAACCACCCCAAAAAAATTGCTTTGAATTTTAATCAACTCAAACAAAAACACATTTAGGAATCTTGAATAAGGAAAAATAAACAATAGGAATAGCAGAGAGTACTGAGTTTATTAAGGTGATCCGGCCTCCAAATGACAATAGTGGGCTTTTCCAAGTAGCAAGTTTCTGACGAATACGGTTCAGCACTAAATTCCAAAATACCTTCCTCGAGTTCCCTCCAACAGGCATTCCTAGATATGTAAAAGGCACCTTGCCCACCCCATAATGTAGAATATTCGCTGCACCTTTTAACCATCCTTCGGAAACATTAAAACCATACAAGTGGCTCTTGCTAAAATTAATTTTCAATCCTGAGATCAACTCAAACCAACGCAAAATAATTTTCACTACTCTTACATTTTCCGCATCAGCCTTCCCCATAAAAACAATATTGTTTTCAAATTGTAATAATGACAACACCAAACCTCCACTTCCAATTTCCACTCCCTTAAAAAGCCCTTCACCCTCAGCTTTTCTGACAAGCCCACACAGCCCATTGCCCACTAATAGAAACAAAAAAGGGGACAAAAGATCCCCTTGACAAAGAGTTTTACTCATACAAAAGTCCACTATCGGGCTTCCATTTAATAACGCAGAAATCCTTGCCATTGAAAGACATTCCCGAACCCACTTTCTCCACTTAGTCCCAAAACCCATATTGTCTAGCATCCAATCAAGAAAACCCCAGTCCACACAATCATAAGCTTTCTCGAAATCAGCCTTAAAAATAAAGCTCTCCTGCTTCCTTTGTTTTACCTTATGCACAACTTCATTCAAAATTAGCACACTATCCATCAATTGCCTACCACCAACAAAAGCTGACTAAGAATCACTAATAATGTCTGCCATTGCCGTTTTCAATCGGTTTGCCAAAACTTTAGCCAATAGTTTATACAAACACTCAATCAAACTGATAGGCCAATACTCTTTGAAGTGCATTGGATTCAATTTTTAGGTATTAGTGCTAAGAATGAAGAGTTTAAACCTTTAACTAACCTCCCATGTTGATGAAACTCCCGCATAACCTCCACAAAATCATCCTCCAATGTGCTTCAAGTAAACTTTATGAAATTAAAATTATAAGCATCTGGTCCGGTGCCTTTGACCCATCGCAACTATGAAGTCCCTCTTCAATTTTCGCAATTGAGAAAGGTCTTTCTAACCACTTCCTTTGTGCAACCAAAATTCTACGAAATAGAATTATGCCCATTATAGGATGACTCCATTAGTTGTTTTGGAATAACTTGCGAAAATACTTCACTGCCTCTTTCTTTACCAAATTTGGTTCCTCAACCCATCCATCCTCACCAAAGATGCCCAATATTCCATTATGTGCTCTCCGTGCATAAACACTTCTATGAAAAAAAGCTATATTTGCATCCCCAAGATGAATCCAATTATCCCTTGATTTCTGTTTTCACATAGCTTCCTTGTTCAGTAAAATGTCCCATAGCTCCTGAAAGCATTGCCTTCACAACTGTGACTCATTCTCATTTAGGTCATCCTCCTCACTTTTTTTATCCAACTTCTCAATCTGCTACACCAAATTATCAAATCTAACCTTGACATTACCAAACACCTCACTATTCCACCTTTTACATTCCTCCTTTAATAACTTCAGCTTCTGTTGACATTTATAGGCTGCCCATCCTTCAATCTGCAATTTTTTCCATCTATTCTCCACAAAATCTCTAAATTTTGGGTGTTGTTGCCATGCATCAAAAACCCAAAATGGCTTGGGGCCCCAATCAATATTCCTCGACTTCAAAATGATTGCACAATGATTTGAAAATGTTCTTCAAACCCCAACTTGAATCCAATCTCTCTCCAATAAGCTCATATTTGTAGATAACAAGAACCTATCGAGCCTACTTATTGAAGTTCCATCAGGCCTATACCAAGTAAACTTCCTATTCATCAATCTAACATCATTTAGCCCAGTTCCATTCACAAATTGATTAAATTCTTCTATGTCTTTCCTAGTCTTCCCTTTTTCTCTGCAACATTTTGAATGGCATTGAAATCTCCTGCTAAAAGCCATTTACCACCCTGCTTTAACACTAAACCACCAATCTCCTCCTATAACATAGCCTTCCCTTTTCTATCACATGGAGCATACACATTTACCAAATTACATGTAATCTGTTGGCTCCCCCATTCACCAAAAATCGCAATAAATCCCCTTCCTTCAAACATGCTCTTTTTTACAAAACTTTTATTATTTCATATACACAACAAACCACCTGAATTTCCCATTGATTTTTGCATAACCCAGTCAAAATCATCCGAAAACCACAGCATTTTACACAAAGAAACCTCAACCTCCTCTAATTTAGTTTCTTGAATGAACAAAAAATATGGCTTCTCCCTTCCTACTAATTTGAAAATCTCCTTCTTCTTTATCGAGACCCTTAACATTAAAAGAAATTATCTTCATAAAATTAAACCATACCTCACAGAACTCCCAAACTATCTCCGAATCATCAAGCCCATTTGAATTCAGCTTCATCCCTTTCCTCTAAAGCTACCAATTTGGATATCACCTCCTTTTCATTTTGTTGACACTAAATCCCCAATCTTTTCCCCATCACAAACATCTTCCTCACTTCATCTAACTCTAACTGCTGCCTAATTACCTTGTTCTTGTTTTGAATACACCCATCAAATACAGAACCTTCCTGCTGCAATTCCAGTGGCAAACCAGCCCGCACTACTCTTTCCCTTTTATATGTTCTACTTTTTGTTCTCGCTGTGACCCACAAAGCCTCTAGTTCTCTCAGTTCTTTTCCTTCACCATCCCCAGCATAAATGGCAACCACACTTTTGTGCTTTTTCACACATAAAATCTAGTCATGTTGTCGACCTGATTTTGTTGTAAGTCCGTAACTAGGTCCTTTCGCAGCCTCCGAAACCCAATGCCTTACTCCCTCAAGCCCACTTAACTCTCCCATACCCAGCCCAAACTTGTCTAGCCCATTTGTCGAGCCATTCACATTTGAAACTCTTTCCTCCAAGTTAAATTGGATTTTTAAACACAAATTCAAAGCAGATTTAGTTACTAAACAATCATCGCTAGAATAGTTTCATCATCGCCCAAAAATCCATAAACATTAATATTTGCTTCACTGACACTATCACTGGAATATTCTGAACCAGATTCAGTCATCTGATTCCGTCGATCTCCAACTAACCACCAGTCCAGGTCCATACGCCACTCCTCCTCTGCCACTGATATCGGAAAAGCTTGTCCGTCAATTAGCAAAGTAATTATGGTTGAGATCTTACACTTTTCATCACTCAAAAGCAATACATTACCTTTACACAAAAATGATTTACTCTTCATATCGTCATCCACAAGAATCACCTCGCTAGTTAAACCTCCTAACTCAATAAAACACCTCTCACTCCATGCTTTTTATCTATTTTTCAACCACAAAAATGATTTACAATGAATTATTAGAAGGTGTGCATTTGAAGGTGAGGAAGGAGGATAGGTGGAGATGGGAACACGACAAGGAGGGTTGTTATGTGGTTAAAAAAGTGGTTAAGAAAGCTTATGAGTTTTAGCACATACGGATTGTATTCTGGATGGTGGGCATGCACAATTATTTGGTGCAAATTGGCTCCCTCAAAAGTCAATTTTTTTGGATGGCAGCTAATGTTGGATAGATTGGCTACTAAGGTTAATTTGCAAAAAAAAAAGGGAGTGTTGATGTAGGGAGATGGTATGAGGTGCGGTTTGTGTAAGTAGGGGATTGAGGAGTGTAATCACAAGTTTTGCACCTGTAAAAAAGTATGGTTAGTAGGTTAGTTTGGATGTAGGTGTTACAGTGGTGGGGTTTGGAAGGGGTGTTACTGAATAATGTACAAGATTTGGCTGGGTTCTTTGTCCATGGCTTTGGAAGGAAAGTAGGGAAAGAAATGGGATCTTTCTTGTTTTTAGTGCTGGTTTGGCTGCTATGCTATTGGAGGAATAAGTTGTTTTCAACAATGAGGACGGTTTTAGGTAACAAAATGTAGGATATTGTGCAAGTTAAATCCTTTGAATGGATTAAAAATAAGATGGTTGATTGTGTTTTTCCCGTACATGACTGGACATTTAGATTGGTTGAGTGGGTAGTTGCTGTGAAGAAGTACAAGTATCTCAAGAAGCAATTTAATATAGAACACCAAGTGCAGGACTATGGTTATGTGCAGGGATATGGTGGGCGGCTAGGTTAATATTATTTAGGCAAAAACTAAGCCCTCAAACTTATCCCAAAATAGCATTTAAGCTCATAAACAAAAAATGAAGCAGATAAGCCTTCCAACTCCACTATTGATGCAAATAAGCCCTTCTCACAAATGGGCCAAGCAGTATTTCATGTTTAATATCACCTTGAAAGCATAAAAAACCATGAATGAGAAGAGCTTATTTGCATCATTAATGAAGTTGGAGGGCTTTTCTGTTTCATTTTTAGTTTAAGGGCTTAAATGCTATTTTGGATTAAGTTTGAGGGCTTAAGAAGTGTTTTTGCCTATTATTTATTGTTTGGATGATGTGTGTTAACGTGTAAGTTGTACCCTTGAATGAGTAGGAGCACTCCTTGTACTTTATCTAATAAAGTTTGATTTTGTTCATGTGAAATACAAAAACTTTCAAAGATTTATCTATGAAACTCAAATATGGGGTCCATGATTCCATCGTTATGAGATTATATAGCTGAAAATGAAAAGCTTTCTTAATTCTTACTTCGCAGAGATTCCAAAATCTAATGGAAGTTACTGTAAAATCGATATATCTAATCAAGAATTTGAAGTGAACAGACAGCTCCAGGTCCGCCGGTTGCATTGCAACACGAGGACCCCAAGTTTGGGTCCCTTTGCCGGCAAGAGGATGTCAACAGGGACGGAACTAGAAATTTATATTAAGGGGTAAATTTTTTTAAAAAAATTTAAGTAATTTATTAGTTTAAATAGTATAATTTATATTAATTTTTAAATTAATTATTACTTTTATATATGTATCACTTATATCATTCACTCCAAATTTTAAATTAATTAGATATATTTAACTATTTTTTAATAGCATATAATTTCAAGTCATTAAATAAACAATATAAAAATGTAATTTATTTCTTTTTTGTAAGGTTACATATATCAAATTGATTTTAAATTTGACACATATAATTTACATAAATAGAATAAATTCATCCATTGGTTTAATAGAATATAAATTCTACAAACAAATATTATATATAATCAATATAAAAATTTATATTAAGTTATATCAATGTAACTAAATCTTAATTTTTTTAATATTTATTCTTATCTAATTAAAATTATCATACCTTTATATGAATTAAGGGTTGCTTGATGTGACATTTTGAAATTAGCAGTTAGTGATTTCATTTAATTTAATAGTAAATAATTGTTATAATTAATAATTCAAATACTTTTATTTATTAGATTAAATAAAACTGTTAATTACTAATTTTAAACCCCTAACCCAAATAACTATTTAGTCACAAAGAGAGAAATGCTCCCTTTATCTAAGTCTTAAATATTTTTTGAATATTTGATATGGTCCTATAATTCAAACTTTAAAAATAAAATTTTGTAAAAGATAAAAATATATGTACCATATTTGATATTTTTCAAAAGTTCAGGGGAGCAGCCGCCCTCCTTTGTCCCATACTGGCTCCGTCCCTGGATGCCACACAAGGAGCCTAGATCTGGGTTCCATCGCCAGCGTGAGGCCGTAGCAGAGATCTTCACCGCATATTCAAACCTTCGAAAGCTTAGTGCTCAGGGCTCGGGATTGTCCCTAATAACTCTATTCTCTTTGAATTCCTTCTTTCTCTTCATTGGGTCAAGTTAAAGGGATGGTTAATTTGAGAAATTTGAGTTTAATTTTGATTATTGATTTGATTTTGATGGTAGGAAAGGCGAGAAGCTTAAAAGCACTTGCCGACTTTTATTATATCTTTAACGATCCTTTTTGTTTTTACTTATGATTGAATTGTCTCCTGTTCAGATCTGAGAAACCCACGTCATGTATGATGGAGGTGGAGGAGAGCGGTGAGGAAACGAAGTTCTGGAGAACGATGACTTCCTTTGATGATGATTAAAATCCTAGTTTGGTCCCTGAATTTTTAGATTGTACTAAAAACATCCTTAAACTTTTAAAAGTATCAAAATAGTTCTTCTCCTTCATTTTTCGGTACCAATTTTGTCCTTCCGTCAGCTATGTGCCCATGTAACATGTTGTCTCAAAGAACCCCTTTTTTAATTCTAAATTTAAATTGAGTTGCTGACCTAAAAGAAGGTTGAATTAGGAAGTAAAATATTGTTTTGTCCTTTTTCAGTAGTGCCATTTAAGTTTGAAGAGGGACCCATTAACCATGTCTCATTGTAAAAGTGAAGACAGAAAGCTAATGCGTATAATTTTTTTGTATAAATTTTTCTAACAAATTTTATATATTTATAAATTAATGAAAATATATATTATTATAAACATTAATAAAGGATTAGTTATTAAATAAAAAATATATATATTAATCTTAACTTTTAAAATTAGAATCTCAACTTTAAATTATATTTTTTTATTTAATTAAAATTTAATTTAAATTTTAAAAATTTATCTTATTAAATGTTGATATTTATATTTAAAAATTGATTATATTAAAATATATACTAAAATTTTAAATTTAAATATCAATATTTAATAAAATGACTTTTTAAATTTTAAATTTTAAATTAAAATTTTAATTTTTAAATATAAATTAAAATTTTAATTTTTAAATATAAATTATTAATACATACTAATCTTATTAAATAATATATAAATTTTATTAAAAAAATTATCTCTGAATCTGTTTTCTAAAATTGAATTAACTAAAGATTTTGATTGGAACTCGGGAGGTTCCTTGTCAGCACCAACTAAGACAGAAGCCAAATCAAGATCTGCACGACGGAAAGGTGATGTAATTTGAGGTTAGTAGTCAAAAAACTTTTTTTTATCGTATTATAATTATTTACATATTAATTGAGAAAATAAAAATAAAATTTGTGGGATTGGAACATGATAACCCACAAAAGATAAATGAACTTAACTTAAGGTCTAATGTTACTGAATCGAAACAAACCGTTCAGTTAATAATTAAATTTGAACTTATTTCTTAAATCTAAAATTATAAAGCCAAAATTTCCGTTAATTTTTTTGTTGTATAGTGATTTACTTTTACGAAAATGTATTTTATAATTCAAATTATATCCTTTAAAAGATGGAAGTCTTCTCCTTACTTAAAAAATTTTTATTTTACAATTTAAAATAATTTTAATAGTAAAATAACATGCTCTTTCTATTAACTTAAAAATGGTACGGGTTAATCCACAAGTCTGCCTCTTATCTTTTTATTACAAGTTGATAGGAAGCTTGCACGAACTTAAACGTCTGTTTGAATAAAAACTAGTAAACAAAAAGGGAATGAAAGAGAGGGAAAGAGAAAGAAGGAGAAGTGAATAAATGAAAGAATTGATGTTAATTTTGTTTGAATAAAAAAAAATAGAGGAGAGGAAAGAATAATATTTTTATTTATTAAATAATTTAAAAAAATAAAATAGAATAAAAATTTTACAATACACTAATTAAAAAATAATTGATATAAAAAATATTTATATATTTATTTTTAAAAAAATTAAATGTATAAAATCAATCTT